ATTCCATCACAGGTGATACTATGAAAGAAGAGGCAGTACTGGAAAAACATCGGGGGGCAATCACTGTCATTCGCTACTCTCCTGATGTTTCCATGTTTGCATCGGCAGATGCTAACCGAGAAGCTGTTGTCTGGGACCGTACTTCCCGTGAGGTAGTGAATCGTCATCCTTACTATTTTTAGACTTTTTGGAAAGTATTACATTTCATAATTTGTTAATAGTTTCTGATGTCTTGGTAGTAAAACTGGGCAAAGTTGTTGAACTTGGAAGTATTAAGTTGCTACAGATGGCTGAAGTGGGCATCAATAATAAAAAATTCAATTTGTTTTTGTTGCTCCTGTATTACCTATTTATGCATCAATGAATTTCCTGTCTTCTTTTCATTTTTTTTGGAATAGAGTTAAAATCAGTGTTCCAAAAAGCGCGTCTCTGCCTTGGCAGTAAGTGCGAATTAAGCAGTCAATTGCTAAGTTGACTGCTTAATGTGCGCAAGCCTGAGCGCTCTTTATTATTATTTTTAATTATTTTTCCCCCTTTTTAAAATGCTTTTATTTGACTTTAGTTTCAATTTTTTAAATGACTTTAACGGTATAAAACTCAAAAATGACTTTATTCGAAAAAGATTTAAATAAGATTTAATTTACAATGCTATCTATATTATGTAATTATGATTTTGAGATTTATCGTTTTGTTGGAAATTGCGAAAGTATATATATGAAATTCCTATAAATTTGTTAAGACTTGTCTAGCTGAATGTTGAAACTATGAAAAATAATTTAACTTTTACATTTCGAAAACTTGAAAATTGTATAATTGACTAATTGTAGGAATTATTAAATAAATATAGTATTTAATATTTTTAGATGTTTGATACGTATTATTTGAATTATTTAATGAGTTTTAGAATGATTAAGTATTTAAAATAATAGTAAAAATAAGCAACGCTTTTTTACACCTAGGTCTCACCTAAGCTCCTAAAGTTTGAAGCTTGGCCTCTACATCTAGCCACGCTTTACGTTTTTTAGGACAGTGGTTAATATAGCCCTATTGGAGATATTGGCCCCATGGCACAAAAAATGCTTGATAATCATCCAAATGGAAGATGTAATAAGAAAAAGTCTGTATTGGCTTTCATGTGCTAAAATCATTGAATGGCTCACAGATAAAATTCTGTCCACACCAGTTGAAATGAGCATAGTTGTCTGGAGAAGTGTTGGAAGTATGAATATATGACGAGATAAATATAGGTAATTAAAATTTCAATATGTATGTAGGATAACTTGTCACTTCTCTTGATAGAAAAAAAATAAAAATAAAAAAAGAATCTGTATTTTTGTTTCTCACATCTATATAGCTATCAGATTTTTTCTTCTCCTTCTCTATTTATGAAATTGTTCTTTCCACTGTGGCATCGTTCCTTTCTTAAGTAACACGAAAGATCTTCCTTGTCGATAATAGAAGATTTTATCTATCGGTTTTCCCTTTTTTTTTTCCTTTTCTTTTAACATGTTATCTATCTAATTTTTTGCTTATATATTTGGCAGGTAAAGCTTAACAATATGTTATACCACACAGCTAGAATAAACTGCTTGGCTTGGTCACCTTCTAGCAACATGGTAGCCACAGGATCACTCGACACATGCGTTATTATATACGAAATAAACAAGCCAGCATCAAGTCGAATAACTGTCAAAGGAGCTCATTTGGGTGGAGTCTATGGATTGGAATTTACAGATCAATACAATGTGGTGAGTTCAGGTGAGGATGCTTTTGTCCGTTTATGGAGAATAACGCCTCAATGATGTACAAGGTTCGTTACCCTTGAATTATCTGTGTTTGGCTCCTTAAAGTTGGAAAAGAGACGAACCTTCATAGATCAAAAATTTGGCTGTCCTGAGGTCTTGACAGTTTTTTAAGAGACTCGTGTTTTGCTATCCTTTGATAGTTTGCTAAAGACGGACATCGTTGCAGCACAAAAATGTGTACATCAGGTTTTTTTGAAGATGATCATTGTGTCACAATATAGATGTGTAAATCTCTGGCGGCCTACCAATTTGCTGCATGGTATGTGTTAAGATATTATCTTTGCACATAACTTGTCTAGTTTTTTATTTTTGTTTTTCGATGTGCGTGCCGAACTTTGTACTTATTCATGTTTATGTTTCAGTGTCCTTTCGATTTTGTTTTTGTAATTAGTTATGAGAATGATGCCAACGTGTAACTATTATTGTTCTCGAGTTGCTTTGTTTTTATTCATATGCAAGAGGCAAATTCAGTTGCTTAAATTTTCCATGGAATTTTACCACCCCCTTGCAACTATTTGATTGATTTAGCATTCCAGGTCTTTTTGAGAGGCATTTTTCACAATGAGTGAAAGTCTTGACAGAGCGATGTCACGTATGTCATTTGTAACATAAAAATCACAAGCACAATTGGAGTTGAACAAACGTTGGTGAATTACTAGGGACGAAATTCAATTACGCCGATGTTTTTCACCCCATTTCAGCATTTTTGTGGTTAGAAAATATCGTGAATGCTTAGAATACAATATTAGACCGTAATAAATAAATAATATTTTAATTCTTTTTAGTATTTTTATTCGTCCAATCCAGTGCAGAACTGTGAGTGATATTTAGTAGCCCAAGATTTTGACGTGAAATCTTATAAGTATTAGGCAAGTGGACGGTCAATTCACGGGTCTCTGCTTTTTCAGCAATGATGCGGAGGAGGTTGCGTCCCTTTTGTTGGACCATTTCGTCTATAAGTCTATAATTATAGAAAAATGGATCATTGTGGTTTGTGGGCCAGTCTGTTATGATCCATCCGTCCTGGAAATTACTCTATTGATTTGATGTGATTGGCAATACATTTCTCCCGTCGATTAAATTTTCATTATAAGTGAAACTAAAAGGTGTTATTATAATACAAACTTTCAAGTCATTTCGACTAAGATTTTAGTTCTTTTTGTTCAACCAATAACCAATCACGAAATAAAAAACCTGTTTGTTTCGAATATTTTAATTTAAGTCAAAGTCAACCACATCTTTCACGGGTCTCACAGCTTTTCAATCACATTTCAAAATTTTTTATCACAATCTACTAAAAATCTAATTTTACCTATTAAAAATATTGTGGCGAAACCCTACTTCATCCAAATTGTCGAAATGATTCATCGCACAACTTTCTCATAGTTCGGACACCGCCTATATCGTATTTGACTTGGAAGGTAAGCATGTTGCCCTCTTGGGACTCCATAGATGAAGATGAACAATATGTCAATATTAATGAATTCATTTAAAAAACATTTAATTATTTACATAAATAAATGCTAATTATTGAATCAGTTTGGATAAAATTCGTTCGGCTCCGCCATGTTTTAAGTCGCTATTTTTGACCGTTAGAGCATGTGCCTAACTATGACCATCTGATCTTAATCGTTTGTCGGCAGAATATGCGCTGAAATTTATCGACAAATACGGTCTATTGAGCATAATTTGTAACAATTAAGGGTTAGTTTGTTTTTCATTATTGGAAGAAAAATAGAGTTCTCCATTGGAGTATCAGAATGGGGTACTTAAGATATCCAAATACTTTGACTAGTTAGGGTGTGTTTGTCTCTCATTATTGGGAGAAAAATAGAGTAATGAATAGTATTTTTTGGAGAATATGTGGTTAAAATTTAAAGTAACTTTATTGGTTTGTGTGTAGAATATTTTATTGGATGAATGTGTAATGAAAAATCTTACTGTAACAAATAATTTTTTGAAATAATGGTAAATAAATAGGGGCTAAGCTACACGTACAAAACTTGCTTTACAGAGACTTTACATAAATTCAAAAGGAGCGTAACATATCAGTGAGAGGAAAAGAGACTATTTCGAGTTACACGTCTTTTTTTTTTTTAACAATTTGAGCTAATAAAATTGACGTTATACTGCATGTAAAATTTCTAATAAAATGATATAAATTATATTGAGAAATTTGTCGTGCTAAAATAACAAACATGAAATAATTGATTTTTTTTTTTTGTGTTTTTCAAAGTTGAGTTATATGCCTCTTTTTAACACTCACGTTTGACGTACGTTTAACTATTTTCGATATTCATTTAGATTATTTGATACGTCTATGATTAGTTTTCGAAATGAGTTACGAGAGGACATAGAAGATTTATGGTTTTGACTAGCATACGATCATCGAAAAATTTTTAAAGTTAACATGTCATTAAAATTCTTGAAATATTGGTTTGGAATAGTCTACTTTGATGCGTCGTAACATTTGCTCTGATTGGCCGTTTTGCGTAACATCCACAACTTGAAAAATTAGGTTGTGAATACTTCATAATGATATCAAGAATGTAATATTTCGATTTCGTTTGATATTTCGTGACCTCAAAAATTACAACAAAAACATCAAATTTTTCTCCAAGCCAACAGTCCCTTTTCCTTTTACTTTAACTGACACATCACCCTCTTGAATTTCTATAAACTCCGGTGGAGGAAGTTGTGTACGTGTAACTTAATTGAATTTGTAAATATAATTTTTTTAGTAACTTTTTAAATGGTATCCTCTTCGAAAATGAGATACTCTTTTATTTTTAAAGAGTTAAATCTTAAAATTAAATTTTAATAGACTCTTTATTTTAATTTTTATAATAATGCTATTAATTGTCAATATTTATTTAATTCAGTAAGAAGTTAGAATTTTCTTTTTGATATATTAATGTGTATATTGTTGATTTTAAGGATCATTAAATGTATAATTACAATTGTCCGTAAAAGTTGAACTAAAAATTGTTTAATACTACTTAGTCAATACACTTTATAAATTAAATAAAATTCATCTGAACTTATGCTTACATCACCACGTTACTAAAATAATATTATTTGTTACTATTTCGTGAAATCAAAACATTATTTTATAATACCGTCGAATTATTGCCTCTATAAATAGATAGCTTCTTCACTTCTTACACTCACTCACTCACAATTTCCTCCATGAAGATGAATACATCTCCCTTACTGTTTCTGCTTCTCATCACATTAACTTTAACGTTAACTCAATGTTTTGTGAGAGCAGAAGCAGAGTTGAGTGAGGTCCATTTCGATCTCGGAGGCCTCAGCAGAAACAGTTTTCCAAAGGATTTCGTGTTCGGAACGGCAGCTTCTGCGTACCAAGTTGAAGGCATGGCCGACAAGGACGGGCGGGGACCTAGTATATGGGATCTCTTCATCAAAGCTCCCGGTAATTCTACTCAATTTCCATTTCCTTTAAGTGAACATTTATTGAACTCGACTAGACATTACGAAAAAATAATTTCTTTTCTTTCTAACATAGTCTAATCCAATTACAAATCATCTCATAAAGGCCAACCACGCCCCTGTTCGGTGTATTCAAAATTCAGTTTTTTAAGTTTATTTTGATAAAATTTGCCCAAATGTACGGTTGAAAAGTTGCGGCCATATTTCACCCACTCAATCTTTCTGGGTTTTGTTTGGAGCACCGAATTAAGGTGGATAGCATTCTTTGATTTTTCATCTACGGTCCATAGTGCAAATGAGAATGAAAAATTAAGGAATGTTATTCACTTTAATCCACCTTTTAATACCATATAGTTTTAGACTAAATTTTTTATACGGTTTAATCCAGTCAAGCTTAATCTTACTTTTTTGTGTTTTTTATTTGTTAAGAACTCCAAAGAAAATACCACAGTGAGGACATCTTTCAATATCTCACTTCGTCTTTTTCTTGATGAACAGGACGTGAGCCCAATAATTCCACTGGAGAGGTGTCTGTGGACCAGTATCACAAATACAAGGTGTGTATTGTACTCTCTCCAGTATTTTTTTTTTATTTTTAAACAAGTATTGAAAATCAGATACATATTTTCTGATTTTAGCATTTCTCTGAGTAATATTTTCCACAGATGTTCTGGATAATGGAACAACCTCACAACATTTTTTATAGCTGGACATATCGAAAATAGAATATAGTACAGGGGAAGGAAAAACTTGTTCTCAAGCATTTCAAGTGAAATATATGGCTTAGCAACTATGAAAAGAAAATCAGTGTGCGATGCCATGCTTAAAAGCAGCTTTTGTATCAAGAAGATTTATGGAACTCATAATTTTTTTTCCTGTGGAGGTGTAGCAAGATGTTGATCTTATGGTGAAACTGAACCTTGATGCTTACCGGTTTTCGATCTCATGGTCAAGAATATTCCCAAGTAATTTCCGTAACAGCTATTTCTAGTTATCTAATTTTATGATTAATCAGTAGCACAAGTAACGTGAAATGTTGTTTAAATGTAGATGGAAGTGGGAAAGTAAACTGGAAGGGAGTTGCTTATTATAACAGGCTGATCAACTATATGCTCGAAAGAGGTAAAAAAGAAGAAAAAATATTGTGTGGCTAAGGGCATACTATGTCATAGCTCATCAAGTATTTATACATCGACACGATATAAGCTAAATATTCAAATAACAATTGGTTATTTTTTGACAGGCATTACTCCGTATCCTAATCTTAATCATTATGATCTTCCTCAAGCGCTTCAGGATAGGTATAATGGGTGGCTCGGCCGTGAAGTGGTGTAAGTATCATAAGAGAAGCAATATCATTTGTATAAATGAGTTTTATCCTTCGAATCATACATTGATCAACTATTCGGGAGCTAAAATATTTGTCGTCTTTGTAGTTCAAATCTAATAGCATATTATTCAAATTCTGCAGGAAAGATTTTGCTGATTATGCTGAATTTTGTTTCAAGACATTTGGGGATAGAGTAAAGAATTGGCAGACGTTTAATGAACCTCGAGTAATAGCAGCCCTTGGGTATGATACCGGGTTCTTTGCACCTGGAAGATGCTCGAATTGCACTGAAGGAGATTCTACTACTGAACCTTATATTGTTGGTCATAATCTTATCTTATGCCATGCAGCAGCTGCTCAGAGATACAGGAAATATCAAGTAAAATAAACATATATTTCCTCTCTTTATACATGAAATATTATGCCTTTTTTCACCCGCTTCAATATGTGCGGTTATGCTTTTTTTTTTTCTCTTTATAGGTAAATTCAAGTTTTCCATGTGGTTAAAGAGAGAGTATGATTTTAAATGCTTTCAAAATGTGGTTTCAGGAGAAACAAAAGGGAAGGATTGGTATTCTTCTGGATTTTGTTTGGTATGAACCATTGACGAGATCTAAAGCCGACAATTTTGCAGCTCAAAGGGCAAGAGACTTTCACATCGGATGGTAAGAACAAATAACGGTAGTTCTTGTTCAATATTTACATATTTTAACTCAAGATAGTGTTTAATTTAGTCACTTAAACTGAAATCTAAGCCATCTTTAGTATCATTTACCGAAAATAATTTCTTTGATGCTGAAGTTTATTCAGGGGACATAGATTGGAAAAGTTGTTTCTCCTTTCTCGGATATTCGCATGGAACTTTTTTGAGTCGATTTTTTTTGAGATAGAGAACCATAAGAATCTCCTACCATTTAATGCACACAGGTTCATGCATCCTCTTGTGTATGGTGAATATCCAAAAACGATGCAGAATATTGTTGGGAAAAGGTTACCAAAGTTCACAAAAGAAGAGGCCAAGATGGTAAAGGGATCTTTTGATTTCGTGGGCATAAATCAGTACACTGCTTACTATATGTATGAACCACATCAAAATAAGACAAAGCCCCTTGGCTACCAGCAGGATTGGGATGTTGGATTTGCTTGTAAGATACTCTCGTCATTTTGCTTTTGCATTGGAATCAACATTTACATTTACTGAATAATATTACCTCGTCTGTTGCCTTTTCAGATGATCGTCATGGAGTGCCAATCGGTCCAAGGGTAACTTAGCTCAAACTATATATTTTACAAGACTGAGCCAAACTTTTATTAAGTACTTTTTGCTGATAAAAATGTCGATATGAATTTGTTATAATCAGGCAGTGTCTGGTTGGCTCTACATTGTACCATGGGGTCTGCACAAAGCTATTAACTACGTTAAAGAGCGCTATGGAAATCCTACCATGATTTTGGCTGAGAATGGTACATTTTGTATTTGATATTCATTGGAGTTTTGTATTAAAGTTAAAAATGATCAAGAATGCTAAATCACTTTCATATGATTGTCAGGAATGGATGATCTAGGGAATTTAACACTTTCTAAGGCTTTGCATGATACCACAAGGATCAACTACTACAAGAGCTATTTAGCACAATTGAAGAAAACAATCGACGAGGGAGCCAATGTGATTGGCTACTTCCAATGGACATTGCTTGATAATTTTGAATGGAGACTAGGGTACACATCTAGGTTCGGCATTGTCTACGTTGATTTCAAAACCCTCAAGAGATACCCGAAGATGTCGGCCTACTGGTTCCAGCGGCTGCTACACCGAAGCAAGCATTAAACAGAAATAATTGTCTTCTCTCTGCTTTAGTTGAGTAGATTTGAATACTTATATTAAGTTATCATTCCTCAGGGAATCAATAAGCTCTAGTTAAGAAGCCATGTTTTTTCTCTCTAATTCAGTTTCTTCAGTATGAATTGTCTTTTGCTGTCTCTCCATTGGAAATTTAAAGCTGCCAAATGTATCTCAAAAAAATTCAGTTTGAATATTGAAATGCTTTTGGAAGCCAATCTAAAGGGAAAGTACGATGAACAAAATTTTATCATTTTTTTTCTCACTGAACAATAAGGGTGCTTTTGTGAGTTGATATGTTAATAGTTTCAAGTCGAGTGACGTTTAACTTATTAGTACAACGAACAAAATAGATGGGTAGAGCTTTTTAAATAAAGTATCTAAATGAATTAAATTCTACCTTCTCTCATGCGACTATGCTCTCCCTTACTCCGTAACGGTGCCCCCACCAGTGACACACGGCGGAGGAACAAACTGAATTGAGCGCTTTCATCTTAAGTCAACTGCCGTTCAATTTATTTTTGTTTGGTAGTGTTCAGCATTATCTAATAACAAAACATTCCATTATAAATTAATAATTAATGCTCATTTCCAACCAAGAAGCTGCACCAACCATGTGAAGCAGATAAATATTTTATGTGCAAGACCGCCACCCCATCCCCTCTCCAATAATGCTATTGCTACACCACATACTATTTGATTTAGCAAAGAATTAAATTTTAAGTAGATTTTAATAAAATTTAATGAAATGTGTGATCCAAAATTTAATAAAAGTTGTGGATTCTATAAAATGTGTGGTTGAAGATACATTTGAGGTAAAAATGAATCTTAGAAAATCGGGCCAGACGGGAGCATTTCTCCAATTATTTGCCTCTATAAGTATATAGCTTCTTCACCTACTACTCTCATCTTCACTTACATTTTCCTTATCTTCACCGTGAAGATGAATAGAACCCCCTTCCTGTTTCTGCTTCTTACCACATTAACTTCCACTCGTTGTTTAGTGAGTGCAAAAACAGAATTGAGTGTCGAAAATGTGTCGCCGGAGACCGTCAGTTTCAATCTCGGAGGCCTCAGCAGAAACAGTTTTCCAAAGGATTTCGTGTTCGGAACTGCAGCTTCTGCATACCAAGTTGAAGGCATGGCTGATAAAGATGGCCGGGGACCTAGTATATGGGATGTCTTCATCAAAACTCCCGGTCAGCGTTTAATTCACCTTAAGAATTTTAGCTCTGTTTTTGTCGGTGGAATCTTATTTATCACTCACTTTGGCCTATAAAACAGGGCTTGAGCCCAATAATGCATCTGGTGAGGTAGCAGTGGACCAGTATCACAAATACAAGGTAGTTGAATTTTAACTGTCATTTAAAATTTGACCGTGCATTAAGGAAATTTTGCTTGAAGCATTTCTGTGGATATGTAGCAAGATGTCGATCTTATGGCGGCACTGAACTTGGATGCCTACCGGTTTTCTATTTCGTGGCCAAGAATATTCCCAAGTAATTTCCGTAACAGCTATTTCTGCCAATGTTAATTTATGAATAATCAGTAGCAAAAGTAACTACATGTCATGTTCTTTAAATGCAGATGGAACTGGTAAGGTAAATTGGAAGGGAGTTGCTTACTACAACAGGCTTATCAACTATATGCTCAAAAAAGGTAACAAAACATCTATCCAGTTAAGGTCATGTTCTGTCATATCACATCGGGTCTTTAACATCTGGTTATATTTCGACAGGCATTACTCCATATCCTAATCTTAATCATTATGATCTTCCTCAAGCGCTTCAGGATAGGTACAATGGGTGGCTTGGCCGTGAAGTAGTGTAAGTATCATAAGAGAAACAATGACATTTTATAATTGTGTTCTTTTTGTATAATATTTATTTAAATTCTGCAGGAAAGATTTTGCTGATTATGCAGAATTTTGTTTCAAAACATTTGGGGATAGAGTAAAGAATTGGCAGACGTTTAATGAGCCTAGAGTGGTAGCTTCCCTTGGATATGACAATGGGTTCTTTGCACCTGGAAGATGCTCGAAAGCATTTGGAAATTGCACGGAAGGAGATTCTGCTACCGAACCTTATATTGTTGGTCATAATCTTATCTTATGTCACGCAGCTGCCGCTCAGAGATACAAGGAGAAATATCAAGTAAAATAATCATTTATGTCAACGAAACATTTCAGATTTTTCCATCTGGTTCAATATGAAATTTGAGTCTTTTTGGTTAAAGTGAGAATGTTTTTGAATGTCTTTCAAAATATGTTTTCAGGAGAAACAAAAGGGAAGGATTGGAATTCTTTTGGATTTCACTTGGTATGAACCATTGACAAGATCTAAAGCCGACAAATTTGCAGCTCAAAGGGCGAGAGACTTTCAAATCGGATGGTAAGAATCAATAACTGTAGTTATGGTTGAAGATTTATAGATTTCAATTTTAAGATAACGTTTGAATAAATTGTCAGTCAATTTAACTAAAATGTAAGCCATCTTTAGTTACCATTTGCCATTAATAATTTCTCTGAAACTACAATTATTCAGAGAATGGAAGAATCCTTTCTCAGTTATTTGCCTGGGACTCATCAGTATATTTCAAGTCAAATTTTTAAAAACGAAGAACTATGACAATATCTCCTGCCATTCAATGAGTACAGGTTCATGCATCCTCTTGTATATGGTGAATATCCAAAAACTATGCAGAATATTGTTGGGAAAAGGCTGCCAAAGTTCACAAAAGAAGAGGTTAAGATGGTAAAGGGGTCCTTTGATTTCGTGGGCATAAATCAGTACACTACTTATTATATGTACGATCCACATCGAAATAAGACAGGCCCCCTCGGCTACCAGCAGGATTGGAATGTTGGATATGCTTGTAAGATACTCTCCTCCTACTTTTGACACTGAAATCAACATTTAAATTTACTGAATAATATTACCTCGTCATTGCCTTTTCAGATGATCGTCATGGAGTGCCAATCGGTCCAAGGGTAACTTCAGCTCAAACTATGTAATATTTACAAAGTGAGCGAACTTTTATTAAGTACTTCTTGCTGATAAAAATATCACTATGAAAATCAGGCACAATCTTATTGGCTCTACATTGTACCATGGGGTCTATACAAAGCTATTAACTACATTAAAGAGAACTATGGAAATCCTACCATGATTTTGGCTGAGAATGGTACATTAAGTAATCTATATTCGAGGAGTTCTATTTTTATGTGAAAATTATCCGAGTATCTAAATTTTGAATCATTTTCACATGATTGGCAGGAATGGATGATCCAGGTAATATTACACTTTCTAAGGGTTTACATGACACCACAAGGATCAATTACTACAAGAGCTATTTAGCAGAATTGAAGAAAACAATTGATGATGGAGCCAATGTGATCGGCTACTTCCAGTGGACATTGCTTGATAATTTTGAATGGAGACTCGGGTACACATCAAGGTTCGGCATTGTCTATGTTGATTTCAAAACCCTCAAGAGATATCCGAAGATGTCTGCCTACTGGTTCCAGCGGCTGCTATGCAGAAGCAAGCATTAAGCAGATGAATGATTTTCTCTCTGCTTTTCAATATTGACATTTGCTTTGTTTCTATTGGAAATTTAAAGCTGCCACATATATTGCAGTGGAAAGTCCGATGAATAAAATTTGTCCTGTCTACCTTACCGAACATGGTCTGTTTTCAGTGTATGACATTGATAACCCCTAAGCATTTATTGTAAAAGTTCATTATTAGAATAGAGCTGATATCTCTGTTCTCTTTCTATGTAGTCATCAATTCACACACAGAAGAATGATAATAAGAAAATAAAAAAATGGGTATGTAGGCAATTGCTCTTGCAAAAACAGATTTGAGGTGATGATCAACGTAATTTACAGTGGATCAGAACAATTATTGAGCTTTGAAGTTTCATCTTAAAAATGTCTAATGTTATTTAGAGGAGTAGTCAAGTCCTAGGTTAATCAATCAACCTTGTAATCAGCCGATTCCTTGTCACGTTCCTACCAATTTATATGCACACTAGGACTGTGTTAGCGAGCTAAAATCCTTGTTCCGAGAAAAAAGGATGCCGACTGTTTATACTCCGACAATCAAGTTAACTTGGGAATATAAGAACAGGAAAAATAGGAGGTGTGGGAGAGACTAGCTGGCAAAGTTTGCTTTGAGCTATGCTAGTACATTTATAGATTAGATTATATGTTGAATTAGGTTAAAGATGTTGCAAAGCTATTTAACACGTGTTGTGCATCCATTAATTAAGATTTATCAATGCTACGACATCTTTACTTTCCAAACCGAATTGCTTTATTGGACATTATTTTTCTAGATCTCTTCTAATCACAAAAGATTTTGGATGGATATTTAGGACCTATATGATTTTTTCCTTGTAATAAAAATTCCCTTACCTAGGCTCCAACTATCATAATGTGGAACTATACACCCAAATTTTGCTTCTTTGTCCTTGTCCTTGCCCTTGCCCTTGCCCTTGCCTTCCGAACCTATTGGAGTTCCTCATCTCCATTTGAACTTGCACGAGGTTCACCAATCTTTTGTGCGAAGGTCATATGAGTCACATAGCGAAGCTACCATATGTGCAAGGTTGGTGGATCATAATGCTTTGCAGATGCTAGGCAAAGTGCGTGGAGAACACGCTAGGCCCTATGTCAGCCTACTTGACATTTGCTTCCTAGTTGTCGCCTTTATGGATTCCAACAAACTATTAGAACATCTCCAATGAGTTCTATGGAATGTTATCTAAGTGAAACAAAGTTGAATGTCTACGTGGCATTAGTGTTTAAGAAATAGATCCTCAAGACTAAAATTAATCTTCAATTCATTTAATGAATTTTTATCGAAGTATGATTTATTTTCTTAAAATAAAAGCAAAATCACCTACAAGTCTAGGAAGAAAATATTAATTTCGTTAAGTAACTTCATCTAATTGAGCTTTGAATCTAAATGAACCTTTAGACTATCTATTTTTTCTCTACTAATTGAGTTCAGTTTTTTTTTTTGAGCAATTTATGATTGTATTGAAAATGTTCTAGTTAAATTCGAATGCAGAGCCTAATTCATAAGGCCATAGGCCCATAACAGACGGGCACGAGCAGCCCGCCCAATTTATTTGTTTACCAAACCCGCCCATATATACAATTCCCGGAAAGGCCACCCTGTACAGGCCCAAATTCCCTACTCAGTATATATTCCCTTCATTTCCGTTCAGTCTGCTTCTGCAAACCCTAGTAAACTCTCTTCCAAGGACAAAGCGCACACAGAGAAAGCGGCTATGGCGCAGGAGCAGCTGGTGTTGAGAGGCATAATGAGGGCCCATACGGATTGGGTGACCGCAATTGCAACGCCGGTAGACAACTCCGACATGATAGTCACCTCTTCCCGTGACAAGTCCATTATTCTGTGGAATATCACTAAGGAAGACAGGACATATGGCGTCGCCCGCCGCCGCCTTACTGGCCACTCCCACTTCGTCCAGGACGTTGTCCTTTCCTCCGACGGTATGTTTGCGCTTTCTGGGAGCTGGGACGGCGAGCTCCGCCTCTGGGACCTTCAGACTGGTGCTACAACCCGCCGATTCGTTGGCCACACTAAGGATGTGTTGTCGGTTGCGTTTTCCGTTGATAATAGGCAGATTGTTTCTGCATCGCGTGACAAGTCTATTAAGCTTTGGAATACTTTGGGTGAATGTAAGTACACTATTCAAGACGGTGATGCCCATTCTGATTGGGTTTCTTGCGTCCGGTTTTCGCCTAATACGCTTCAGCCGACTATAGTTTCTGGGTCTTGGGATAAGACTGTGAAGATCTGGAATTTGTCTAATTGTAAGCTGAGATCAACCTTGGCTGGGCATACCGGTTCGGTTAACACGGTGGCTGTTTCGCCTGATGGGTCCTTATGCGCGAGTGGAGGGAAAGATGGAGTGATATTGCTCTGGGATTTGGCTGAAGGGAAGAAGCTTTACTCTTTGGAAGCGGGTTCGACTATTCATTCACTTTGCTTCAGTCCCAATAGGTACTGGCTTTGTGCAGCCACTGAAGCCAGCATTAAGATTTGGGACTTGGAGAGCAAGACTGTTGTTGTGGATCTTAAGGTTGATTTGAAACAGGAGAGTGAGATGGCTGCTGAAGAGAGTACTCAAACCAGTAACAAAAACAAGGTACATATATAATATCGTGTATCTATTTGTGTTCTTAATTTCTTAATTATTAATTACGAATATGCTTCATTCTTTTTGGTGGTCATTTATAGAGATCGATTTGATTTTGTTGCCTACAATTTTAGTTTATGCATTTTGACACTTCAAGTTCAGATTTTGTCCATGTGTTGAAAATGTAATAGTCGAATATTTTTCTGGCATTATGCTTGGATGAGCATGTCCTTGTCCGTCTTTGAAACTTGATTGATGTTTTATATATAATTTTGTATATTTCAAGATGAAAGTTTGAGAACTGATTAATCTGCAATTGAGATGCACTCATTTTTGTGATCTTTATTAACAATTCTTGCATTCACACCCTTGTGCAATTTTGGTTGTACTTTATAGCCCTCTAGAAGATAGGTTGACCCGTCCTGCACAGAGTCGACTAGCTGGTGGCGTCCGTTGGCCTACTTAAGGCTCTCTATATTATCAAAGATAACTTGTAACTTTTATAGAACCTTGAACAATATATTCTTGATTTTACATTAAAGTAGCAAGTTTTGTTTGCTTTTTATGATACTATGGCCATTGCTTGGTCTGATTTTGAGAATGAGGTCGGTTTTCCACCATTGAGTGTTGTTGCAGTGAATTCTTGAACCTTTTTGGAAGTACTTGTTTTGTCTATGTACCTGATCTTCGGAAATTTACATTGTAGATTCTATACTGCACTAGTCTCAATTGGAGTATGGATGGGAGCACACTATTCAGCGGTTACACGGACGGTGTCGTCAGAGTTTGGGGCGTTGGACGTTACTAGAGAGAACACGTAGCTAAGCAGTCGAAAATGCCCTGTTACAATGATTTAAGCAAAAGCAACTCTACATTTTAATTTTAAACTCTTGGAGTGAGCATTTGGATTCTCATTGGTGTTTCAGTTTTGAATATCTTTGTTTGCTTAATTTAAAATGCTTGAAATTTTCTGTCTTGTTTGATTGTCATTTTGAATCCCCTATTGTCACCATGTTTAGTTGGGATCTATGGCCTATGGGCATTTCTGGTTTCAGTAGTTTACGGGCTGTTCTCTTTGTGTTTGAGTTTTATATTTTAAATTCATTTTGGATTGTTTTTAGTGTCTATTTTGAGATTGTTGAAAATGTGTTTTTTTTGGCATTTTGAAAAATTGTTTTGAAAACATCCAAAATGTGTGCTGAAAATTTTGATTTGATTATAACTGAAAACACTCAAAATGATAAATTTATCGCTTTGGATTTTCTTTGTAAATTTTTAATTTGTTTTCAAAAACGCGTTGTTTTTTGTGTTTCGATTTTGTGTTTTGAGTTTTGAATTCATTTTGGGTTTTGTTGAGTGTTCATTTTGTGATTATAGAAAATGTGTTCTTTTTGACATTTTGAAAAATTGTTTTGAAAACACCTAAAATGTATTTTGAAAATTGTCTTGTTTATAGTTGAAAATACCCAAAACAACAAATTTGTCGTTTCGAGTTTTCTTTGTAAATTTTTAACTTGTTTTTAAAAATGCGTTTTTGAAAATATGAAAGGGAACATATTTTCACTATTTTTGAAAATTGAAAACAGAAAATGCCTTGAAAATAGTAAAGAGAGTAGATCCTAATACTTTTTCACTTTTTTGGAAATTCGAAAATAGGAAATGAATTGAAAATGATAAAGAGAATAGACCCTTAATAATTCATCATTCTTCACAAATCATGTCGAGAGTGGCCGATGGGACATTCCTATGTGATACTGGTAAGGTCAAACGTTTACTGGTTTTTAAGATTTGAACTACTGATTTTTCATGTATTTTGTTAAAAATTTATAATATAAATAGAAAATAAATATTTATCTATTTATGATTTTGAAATACTAGCGGGGGATCGTGCATTGCACGATACCTATTATAATTTTGGAAGTGTTTTGTTAATAATATTGTAAGGTGTTGAGATTTTTTAGTGATTTTAAGTGACTTCATATTAATTGAAATGTGATACTGCAGTTCTAAAAATTGTACGATAGATGTTTGATGCATAAAATTAGATAATATAATTTATATTTTCTTTGTGCATTATGTTTAATTTTTGCTTCAAATTATAAAGATCTTAGTCATTTCACAAACATGTTCATATGTATATAAATAATGTTAATTGCAATGGAAAAAGAAATAAAACAAACAAAAAGATGTTCGTGCCCGTGTTGCTAAATTTGTTTTGAGAATACATATATTGTCACATTAATCTGCACATACAACTTACATAAAAGAATCAGTTCGAGAATCGAAATCAAAAATCACATATCTGCTAAATTACCTAGACATGCACATTCAAGAAACACAAGATAAAAACTGTACTTAAAAATTTGCTTATAATTATTAAACCTTCTCATTTTCAACTTCAGATGAAAATCCTTACGTAGATTGGTATGTAATATTTTAAGAAGAGCTTGTAGTGTACAGTTCTAGGTCTATACTTAATCTAAGATAGATACTATAGTTTTAGGGAATGGCATAAAACATACGGATTACAACCAAAACCTATATGGAAGTAGCATATTTAATTGGAAAATTATTTGCTCAAAGAAGTATTCCAAAGAAAAAAGTTCCAGTGAAGTTTTTCAGAAATCAAAATTATATCCGGACATATTCAATAGCCTAAACCACATAGAGACATGTTCAGATGCGTTGGATCTACTCCATCCAGTATTAGCTAATCTTTGATTTGTAAAGGAACAAAACGAGAAATAAGTTTTCTTTTGTTTTGATAACAAAAATTTTATCGCAAAATTGGCCGCGACCCAATCATAATGTGATCCAAATGACGTTGTATTTCACACTTTTAATCACGCAAGTATGGGTGTAACACAACTACCAGTACATGAAGTTCATCCATAGAAAAAATGAACTTCTTTCTATGGACAGGGACCATGGAACTGCAAACAGTCACCAGATGAATCTTAAGGATATGCATACAAACCTTTGTATTAGCAGGGATGGACCCAGCACCCGGGTTCAGCCCGGACGGACGTTGACTAGTCAACGTCATCGACCTCAATCACCATCACCATCACCATCACCTCCAAATCCAATCTAGATTAACATTCTCATTTTTTTTTTTTATCTAATTCATCTTAGAATGACTACACAATGCAACACTTTTAAGAAGAAAAAAAATTAGTTTTCCTTTTTCATAATTAGGAATGAGGGTCACTGGCGTGAGGCGTCTGCAATCTGCATAACCCTTTGAAATCTGAATTGCAGACGCCAAATGTATTGCAGTATTGGAATTTGGAAATATGGTTTAATGTTTCAACGCTATCTTATTTTGAATGGTGAATGAATTATGAGGAGAACGGAGAACCAACTATGAACTACCAGTCTACCAATAGTGAATAGACGGACAGTAGCAAAGAAGTGAGTCTGCAGACAATTAGACAAACACCAAATTTTTATATTTCATTGCACAATTTCAATTTGCAGTTAAATTTTATGATTTACCATCGAATATGATAGCCACGGGACCAAAATAATTCATAAAAATTAAAAAATGGCAACCTACACAATCAAAGATTCGAAAACAACTTACGGTTTCGGGTTTCACAAAATTCGGCTAAGTGCGGATTGCGGTCGGAGTTCCTGATTCTGCTGCGTCGCTGCTGGAGACAGTTGCGGGCCCACCGTCACATCTAGCTTCGGCATCGCTGCTTGGAGTTGGAGTCGGTCACCTACTGAAACTCAGAATCTATAGTCCTCAAAAGCTTTCTATGAATCGAAAAACCAAAATCTCCAAGAATTTCGAGCAGTTTCGATCCAAACTATTTCTGGCGTATTCGGTTGAAAATTTGGGGGAGATTGGAGAAGGTGAAAATTTGGGAATTAGATTGATTTCAATTTTCAAACAAATTCACAGGAATTTAGGCCTATATATTATATATTAAGTATTGGGCTCAGACAAATGGCCCAATCCAATTACAAAAAAATAGATGAATTAATGGGCTGGACAAATTGGGCCAATTTGAAAATGAATAATTAAAAAAAAGGAACTCAGCCCACTTTAAAACGAAAAAAAAAAACTGAAGATTGAAGAAGACGAACCAGGTGCTCGGCGGCGAAGTTCACTGCCAATCCGGTCAGTTCGGCGGAACCCAGCACGCGCGGCCGCCCCCCCTGGCCGGGTGCTGGGTCCGTCCAGTATTAGTACTCAATAAAGGTACATCAGATCTCAAACTGAGACATACAAATCATGCACACAAGAAAACAATGAATACTAAAATTCTACTTGACCAGCACTTAGGTTACATAGCTGAAAATTGCAAAGCATCCAATGATGCTATATAGAACTGGTTTTCACAAGAACATTGTTTCAGAATTTTTTTCCCAAACTCGTTTCTTGAGCGTTAGAGATAAAAATTACAGAAGTTCTCTAAAAAAAATAGGATTGTTAATTTTCCAACTTGCCATCATGTAGTTAGAATAGGGCAGTAATGATGAGTTCATAATCTTGGACTTGAAGTAGCTGATCACAGACCACACAAAGCTAGTTTCTCTATTGATCTACTCAAAGAAATAACAAACATTAGCCAAAAGGAGTCAATTTTGGAGGGGAAACAAAAGAAGACATTTAAATTGGTTTACTAGAGAGTTGGTATAAGAACTCAAGATTTAAACAACCAAATGTAATCCCCACTAACAGTGCAAAACACTGCAACCGAGCAATATATGACAAGTTGAGGACATGTTGTGTGTGTACAGGTGCGATTGTGGAATTCTGATCATGATAATTAAACATTTTTCAACAATAATGGAAATGTATGAACTCCATAAAATGAGGAAGTGTGATCTTTACACTCGTGCTCTCAAATAATTACACAGTCCATATTAAACATAAAACACACATAGAGGTGTCAATCCGGGTGGACCGGGCCGGGTCGGCAGGCCAACATATGAGCCCAGTAACAGCCCGCGTGAAAAAAGCCCCCCCGCTACAGGTTTCGGGTTGACTCACAAATTTTGGACTACAACCTAAGTCCACCTGCTGACCCATCTGGATCGAGCGCATACGGGTTGCGGGTTGTTCCAAGAATTTTTTATATTGATAGCAATTTTTATTTTTGTTAAATGTAAACTAAGAATTGAACAAAATGATAAATTCATATTTATACCAAGAAATGTTTACATAGAATTTAAATTTAATAATTGAAATTTAACAAGTAAATGCATTTCTAATTACGTGAAGATATATATTTATAGCAAAGTACATCTCAACTAGGTTGTCACCTACTTTTACTATAATTTATAATTTAAGTACATCCCAACTAACTTGTCACATACTTAAGTCTTAACAATTAACTATAATTTAGTTGTTGAAAAATTATATATTTGTTTCTCAATCAATCTTCATGAACTGTAAGATTTTTGAAATTTTCAGTAACATTATCATTAATTTTATCTTGCATCATTCGATCCGCGAATATCCAATCTTTCACGCATATGAGAGCTTCCAAAATATTTTCTTTAAATCTAGATCTTCGTTCGTCCAATACCCTATTACCTGCACTAAAAGCAGACTCGGATGCCACTGTTGAGATTGGCACTGTTAGTATATCTCGTGCCATTTTTAGATAGTATAGGGTATGACCGCTCATTTAATTTCCACCATCGTAAAATATCTAACTTATCAACTTCGTCTTCAGGTATTAAACTATAATGATCAAATTGATAATATCTTTCTAATTCAGCAGGTGTGGTATGTAGATTTGCAATTGAAGTTGAAGTAATGGATGAAGAATCAAGAACACTACGTTTCTT